CCAAGCTCAGACTCACGCCCCCAAATGGCAAGGTATACCACATGGCCTTAAAGTCTCGAGGCAAACGGGAAGCGGCGTTGCAGAGAGACGCCTTGGGAAGAGGCCTCCCGGGCAGCAGCCGGGCACCCCGCCCCGGTCAGTAGCCTGCGTCTTCATTTGCGACGCGACGTTTCTCAATCCCTGTCCCCTATTCATAAGCGCCCCCTCCCCCGGGCGACTGGTAGCCAACCGGGAACCATTAGGGCATTCCCCACCATCCCTGCCGAAAAAAAAACACACATTCTGCCTCCAAATCCGGAGCATGCGCAGCCAATCCGATGCGGCCCCCCACCCCCGCATGTCAAAAAATAACAGACAGAGTACGCTTGGCGGCGGCGGCGGCGGCGGCGGCGGCGGCTGCGGCGGCTGCAGCGGGCGGCCGGCGGGGCGGGGCGTCGGCGGCCGGGCGGCGGCGGCGGGGGCTGCGGCGGCGGCGGCGGCGGCGGCGGCGGCGGCGGCGGCGGCGCCGGCGGCGCCGGCGGCGGCGATTTGACAGCGGAGGCGGCGGCGGCGGCGGCGGATTGGCCCCCAGTAGCTGTCCATCCAAAGACGACTGCTGAATATGCTGAGGTTCGGGCCAGACTCGGGTGCTACGCATGCGCAAGGAGGGCGGGCGGGAGTGGGCGAGACGGCTTGCGGGCGGAGAGGGGGTCTTGATCTCTACCTTGCCCCGCCCACACCCAAACAATTATCACGGCAAAGCAACCTAACAGCGATGTGTAGGAGCATATCTGGAAGCATTCCCCTTAAGATTCAGATGAAGAATCCAGTTGTAGAATTCTGCTGTTCTCGCAGTCGTAGTCGCATTCGCGATGACAGTCGCAGCGGCAACGGCAGTCGCAGTCACAGCCTCAACCTCAGCCTGCCTCAGCCTCAGCCTCAGCCTGCCTCAGCCTCAGCCTGCCTCAGCCTCAGCCTCAGCCTGCCTCAGCTCAGCCTCAGTCTGCCTTCAGCCTCGGCCTCAGCCTCAGCCTCGCCCTCAGCCTCAGCCTGCATCAGCCTCAGCCTCAGCCTCAGCCTGCCTCAGCATTGATCAGAATGTGGCATTCCGGGAAGGGAGTTCTGGGAACTCGAAGACCACGAAGTGGCCTACAGTTGGCTCCGGGCATTCAAAATCATGCCCAGGAATGGAATGGAGTTCTGGGAACTCGAAGACCACGAAGTGGCCTACAGTTGGCTCCGGGCATCCAAAATCTGGCCCGGGAATGGAGTTCTGGGAACTCGAAGACCACGAAGTGGCCTACAGTTGGCTCCGGGCATCCAAAATCTGGCCCGGGAATGGAGTTCTGGGAACTCGAAGACACGAAGTGGCCTACAGTTGGCTCCGGGCATTCAAAATGTGGCCCGGGAATGGAGTTCTGGGAACTCGAAGACCACGAAGTGGCCTACAGTTGGCTCCGGGCATTCAAAATGTGGCCCGGGAATGGAGTTCTGGGAAGTCGAAGAGCACGAAGTGGCCTACAGTTGGCTCCGGGCATTCAGAATGTGGCCCGGGAATGGAGTTCTGGGAGGTCGAAGAGCACGAAGTGTGTGACTGTTGGCTTAAAACGACTTCTGCGGCACCCTGTCCGGCACCCGCCCAGACCCCCCTGTGGAGTCATTTGCTGTTTTCTTTTGACCTTATTAGAAACCTATCAGAACAAGCTGTTAGGTAACAAATCCTTTGCAGTTGTGGAGATGCGGCGTGTCTGGTGGATTTTGCATGTTTTACAGGCACCATATACGCATTGCAGCGATGGGTCGCGGCCTGCGCGGGGGGGGGGTAAAAGCGAGGCCCGACTCCAGAGTGCCGCGAGATATCTTCGGGGCATTTGGACGCGGCCCATCTGCCCCCATCGATCACCTTCGGCCCCCACAGCCCATCTGGTCCAACAACGGCCCAGGTGCGCATTGGCACTAGCGGGGATATCTCGGGGCGCAGGGCGCAGGAGGCTGCCCGTGGCCTTTTCCAGCAGCGACGAGCTCTGGCCGCGTGGCCGACGCGGCGAGGGGGTTGGGCACTACAGGAGGATCGAGAGCCACAGGGAGGGCGCCAAGAACGAACCAGGACATGAAAACTACCAAGGAGGAAAATCACATCAATGGAAGAGGGCGCGAATCGACTGCGAGCTGGCACTCAGGCATGAGGAGTGGCTCGAGCGGAGCGACGAGGAGAAGCTTCGCCACGGAGGAGACCAGTACATCACGCAGGAACAGGCAGCTCAATTTTCGGGGCAGATCCAAGGCAGCGAAGGCGGTCATAGAAGCTGATGAAGGACCTAGGAAAAAAGTCACGCAACCGAAGGAACAATGAGGTCATCGAGACGCCCGAGGAGATGTCAAAAGGCACTGTTGGAGGGCATCAAGAAGAACGGGGGCATCTTCGCAGCCTTCAGCAATCCAGGAGAACACGTGGTGGATGCAGTAAGCTGCGCAGAAGGTTACGACATCATGCTGAACAAGCACATGGCCATGGGCGTAAATGGCGAGGATGCGCTGAAGGCGGCCAAGCAGGAGCTAGAGGAGAAGGAGAAGGAGCTGCATGCGATTGGCGACTACAAGACGGCAGAGAAAATGGGAGCGAAGCAAGCGCAGTACCTCAAGGCGCTCGACTTCGTGGACAAGTTGAGCAATGACATGCAGCTGTTCAGCGCGTGCAGGAGGGGCGCAGGATGGGGCGCGGAAAAGGACTCCGCCTGCGCGCGTGGACTGGCTTTCCCCAACAAGCTGCGACGGGAAGGCCCCGGCCCCAACTCGAGGGGGGACCGGTGGAAGTTCTGTCGCAAAGTGGACTGGGAGCAGCTGGTGATGACGCAGGAGAGCTCCCCCGAAGGCGAGCTCATGAAAGAGTGGGTGGGCAAGACGAAGAAGGACTTCGGCGAGGGCTGCGAGATGTGGCCCGGCGAAGTTCCACCCGCGCAAGCGAGGGCAGTCTATGGTAGTGGAGCTCAAGGTAGGAGACGTTTGAGAAGCGTTTGTAGCAGAAAAACTGCCGCAGAAGCTCGACGACGCCATCGAAGGGAATCCTACACTGTCTACGACGCGGCCCAGAAGACGAGCCCAGAGGAGCTGCGCGAGCTGATCCCACCGTCCTCCCCGACGACTCGCCAGGTCGGAGGCCGCGCGCTGATCGCAAAGTACCCAGTGGTCACGTGGGGAACCGCAGGAAGGAGGTTCTTCTCCACGCGCAGCTGGTGCGAGCTGGCGCCGCGGACCTCGGAGGGCGACGCGGAGAATCTACGCGGCGTCACGGGGGCAGCCATGAGCGAGATGAAGGATGATTCGAATCTCGATCAGGAGGAGGTCGAGAGGCTCAAGAAACGCCAGCAGCCTCGCGACAGCACGAAGACCCCGCTGGACAGCACAGAGATCTTCGAGAGGTACGCCAATTCAGGCGAGGCGGCCAGCTCCAGCGGCCGCGCACGAGGGGGCCCACATGCAGCGCCAAGAGGAGCATTGGCGGGGGACAGGACGTGCTCAGAGGGGCCACCACTAGCGCGGGCGTCTCGGCGCGAGGACCCTTAGGAGAGAGCTCGCGCAGATAACGCCTTGGAAAGTTGTTTGGGGAGCGCCGACGGGTGCACTACTGCAGGGGGCGACGAGTGGACAACGAGACCACCGCCGAGGCCATTGGAGCGCATCCCTACGAGCCCCTCCTCATTCGAATCGACAGCGACACGGGTGGCTGACAGACTGGGAAGACAACCTCTTGCACGCCGTGACAACAATATGTGTGCTCGCCTCCACTTACACGCCGAACCGAGGGGGGTTTATCAAACTACAAGTGGAATACTATTGCAGAACATCTCGGCACAGACACGACACTGCATGGGGCAACCCACGGCCAGCACGTCCAGGAATAGAAGTTACCCTAAAGGAAGAGAGTGAGAGAGAGAGAGAGAGAGAAATAGAGAGAGAGAGAGAGAGAGAAAGAGAGAGAGAGAGAGAGAGCGAGAGACTCAGTTAGGAGTGCGAGAACAGCAGGTCGAGGGCAGAGTGTAATTAGGCCCCCCCCCCCAGCAAAGCTTGGCGCGAAAGGGCCTCCTGTATCCCCTCCTCTTCTCCTTGCGTCGAGTGAGGTCGCGTCGTCGTTCTCCTCCCCCGCTTGGGAACCCTGCTCGCCCAGCGCGTCCCCGTTGTCATGGGCGCGCGAGAGGGCCAACAGCTGTTCCCCCCGCACTGCCCCGTAGGGACTCGTACTCACAAGGTAGCGGGCCTTTTTTCACGGGGCCACCTCGGAGCTCGCCCCTTGCAGTTTCGGGGTGTGCCCCAGTCGGCCCCCGTGAGAAGTCTAGGTCTGCGGCATGATGCAATCGCAGGGGATTTTGCTAGTCGCGCGTTGTAGGTGTTGACGCTGGCCCCCTTCTGCGGACCTCCTTGTCGTTGTCCTTGTCCTTGTCCTCCTCCTCCTCCTCTCCTCCTCCTCCTCCACCACCCCCTCCTCCTCCTCCCCTGCTTCTCCCCTCACTCCTCCCTTCTCCTCCTGCCTCCTATCGTCTCCCCTGCCTCCCCTCTCTCTCCTCCTCGCTACCTCCTCCTCATCCTCCCTCCTCCTCCTCCTCCTCCTCCTCCTCCTCTTCCTCCTCCTCCTACTCTCCTACTCCGCTTCACTCTTCCTCCTCCTCCTCCTCCTCCTCCTCCACGCTCCTCCTCTTCCTCCTACTCCTCCTCCTCCTCCTCCTCCTCCTCTTCCTTCTCCTTCTCCTTTTCCTCCTCCTCCCCGAGTTTTTTGGATGCATCCAGAGGCCGAAGCAGGGGGCAGAACGTCCAGAAACCTTGGCCTTCGATGTCTTCGGGCACGGTCGGACCGAGGCATGTGACCGAGGTTGTTCTTCATAATTATCGGATGTTTTTGTGCATTCCAGGGAGGGTCTCCTCGGATGTTTTGTGTGTTCTAGCCAGCGGAGGGGCTCATGCTCTTGGAGGATGTTCTGTTGTCCCAGGTCCGACCGCATCGAGCTTGGGCCTTCTGGCATTCCCCA